TCATCGCAATCTTCGGGAGTAAAACAACTGAAAATAAGATTTCCACTGCACATAGCTGCAGCTGATATCACAACCACAGCAGCAGCAGCAGCAGCAACAATTGCAATGGCATCAATCTGGCCCTCATAAACACCAGCAATTTTTACACGCGGTTATGATAATTATTTCTTGCTGATATCAAAAACAGTATATTAATAGAACCTAAATTATTAGTTTAGGTTAAATTAAATTCGTTTATTTTAAATTATTAAAAAATTAAATTATTAATAGAACCTAACCTAGAACCTAATAGAACCTAAATTATAGAACCTAAACCTAAATATTAATCAGAACCTAAATTAATTAATTGAAAATAACTACTACAGGCCAGAGTATAGCCTTTCCTTTACGAGTGCTTGAATGTTGGCAATTCATGTATCTGTGAATAATAGTCTTAATGAAAAAGTAAGCTAGTAATGATTTTTAAATAAGATTATTTGCCGGAGCGATACATCCACTGACAATTTATAAAATGACACTTCCGCACAAATACGTACAAATGCATATATATACATATACCCCTCTGCAGTGTGCACATAACATCAAAATGATAAGTACTTCATATTACATGTCACGCATTTGCTGACCAGCCAGGCTAATGCTTTAGAATCAGTATCAGAATCACACGTGTGAGTCAGTGCATCCTGTAAGGTGGTGCACTTCAGTGACGAGTACACTTTTTTCCTCTGCACTGATACAGCCTGCTAAATACGCGTGTAACTAGCCAGCTTGCGTCGGCTAAAGTCCAAATGAGTTAACTTTAGATGATGAAGAAACCTTTTACTACTTATAATAATTTCCAATTTCATACTTTTTGCTTCGCATTTCCCTTTTTACAACACTCATACATCAGTAGCTAACCCATTTTTCCTGGGGGATGGGGGCAAAGCCATGTACATGGTGTGTTCTGGGAAAGGTGACCGCCTTTGACCATGTATCGTATCTACTTTTTTCTGGGGGGCAACTGCCCATGTGCCCCCCCCCAGGTAGCTACGGCCCTGTACATTATTAGCGTATACTGCTTAGTTATGTGAGTGTTTACTGCCTCAATTTGATTACCTAGCATCTAAACAGGTAAGGATGATTAATAACACTGTGGCATACACTTGTCATAACCAATGCCAGAATGCAAAACAATTTGTTACTACTGATACGAGCACTTTTAGTGCATGACTTTGCTTTCAACACTGATTACATGTACACAATCATGCACTCTATAAGGCTGACCCCCAACACTAAGTAAACTAATTATAGTATTTTTATACACACCATGTAGTATACACACCATGTAGTATTACACACCATATAGTAATCTGTATGTGTGATATTGTAATGTTCAGTGACTGTGTAAGATACGATCTGGCACAAACACGTGGTTGACCAAGCTAACTGAAATCACAGTACCACGCAGCACATGCTGTCGTGCAACCGAACGCAAGCCGATCAAATTACAGCTGTGGATAAATACATTTACAATGGTTCATTTTAGCGAGTTATTTTCAGCTTATGAAGGTCCTTAATAACAGCTCTAAGAAAAGTTATCATACAGTCGTGGACTTAACCACCCACCTTTACTTAAAAGATCATTTTGTGCTTTCTCTATGTATTAACGTGAACATATAGGGCCTATAGGCGCGTTCACACAGACGTTTTTAGCCCGAGCCTAATTAGGCCCGCGCCTGGTTATTTGGTCCCATCGAAAACGTCTGACCAGGCCCGAGCCAAATTTTAGCACTAAATCGGTAGAGCGATAGATGCCGCGAGTGTCGAACGTGTACTTCGACGAAATAAAGTCCAAAACAGTATAAAAATTCGAAAATTTTTATCAGGATGCATGTTTTCAAGATTGAATGGAAGTAAACACTAAATCGTACACAACGCCATCTCGCGACATACTGCCATATTCAGGGCAGCCAACATTGGGTGATAGACGAGAGTGAGATGCGAGGGAGCGAAGCAACCGAGTGGGGGGAGGTGTGGGAGGGGGGTTCCCCCCTCCCACGGTAGGGAGCTTTTGCATTTTATAACTTCAATTTGTGCAATTTGGTGCATATACTAAAGTGACTGTTTTCAGATATTGTACGATTTTTTTTGCTGTGCGTGAGATATTTCAGCGTTTTATTCATGAAGATATTCATGCGTGAGATATCTCAGCATTTTTTTGCTGTGTGTGAGATATTGTAAGATCAGCGTGAGAGCGTGAGATTTGGTCAAAATGCGTGAGTCTCACGGTCAATGCGTGAGAGTTGGCAGCCCTGCATATTTGAAGTATCTGTGAGATATTTGTGCAATAAAATGTATTTGAATTTGAATTTGAATTTGAATTTGAATTTGAATTTGACAGACAGTAATAGTATTCAGCTGCCTACGTGTGAACGCTACGACTCAAACCAGCCTGAGCCAAATTTAGCCTGAGCCATGCAAATTTAGCCCATTTAGCTTGAGCCAAACCATTACCATGTGAACGCGGCATATATATGTTCATAAAATTATAAATCTGCAAATTTCCATCAAATTTAATGTGCTATATGCCATTTGCTAATTAAGTACGGCTTAGCAAGTCAAAAACACATGTACTATCAATATTTATGAATAAGAGACAATACCCTTTCATGTAGGGCCTACTATGATCATGTGAGTAAACTCAATTACATGGGAAATTGCATAATTTGCTTGAAAGTTAAATAATTGAATAATTAATTTACAGTAAGTCACACAATTTGCATAATTTTCGGCTTCTACAAGTTCACATAATGATAGTACACATGGTGGTTTTTCTGTTTCAAACGTGAAAACTATTAACAACTCTAAAAACTAATCACGTGTCGTCATTGACATTGACACATGACCAATCCAATTTCATAAAACTAAGTAAATCTTGCCAGCATTATAATAACAATTTACAGATCTTCTACGAATTTACAAGCCATAGCATGCTTTTTACTAAGGAGGCCTTGACACGCATTTTTCAGTAAACACTAGGCTACAGAATACAGTGTCAAATTATATAGGCTATAGCATTCGGATCACCTCATTCATTTGCGAGTAACTTCACACCGAGTGGCACTGGTATAAATACTTTCTCTGAAGCCATTACTCAACATGACAACTATCGCTGGGGTTATAAAACTTTTATAGTTGAAAAAGACAGCCGATAAAGCAATGCTACTTTCAATGCACCGCGATTGAGAGAGTGACTAGCCAACGCGCATTTGGATTGCATGTGTAGGCTAGCGATCGCGCCCCTATACGCGATAGAGATCGATAAAACTACGCACTGAGCTTAGAGTTTACACGCCGTGTACGATGTAGCAGCATCGCCATTTTCAAAAGACTTTCGCGCACATCGCTACGGTTGACTGTATTACCAATGACAGAATAACACGTTTTAAGCTAGATGAATGCAATTAGGATTTTAATTGTTTCTCGATTATGCAACGAATAACGAAAGCCGACTTACCTTTTTGCTTTACGATGCATTATCCATTTTCGTTCCGCTTTACATGTTTTGCTGACGAGGTCAACTAGGCCTAAGCATCGATTGCCATCTGTTGGTGGGATTTGTCACTACTGGCTGTGATTCAGTTTGCGCATGTAGCGCGTGCGCGCATGCACATCGTACTGGTATGCGGCTGGTCTGATGGGTCTGATGCCAAAGTCACAGTTATATGCGCATTAATTATTATTGCTGGACGAAGCTGTACTTGTACGTGCAGTACGTACAAGTGCCGTACATACTGAAAACTAGCAAAGACTTCGAATAAAAATCTCACGCGCGAACGTATTCGTATATGCGAGGTTACATGTTTGCGCAAATCTCATGCGCGCGTGGGTGTGCGTCAGTGCGATAAGGAGCGGTAGCACTAAGGTCGAACAAGGAAGAGAGAGAGAGCGAGAGAGAGAGAGAGAGGGGTGGAGCGAGAATAAAAGAGAAAGAGAGGGGGGCGAGAATGAGAGAGATAGATAGAGGGAGAGAGAAATACATGTGCGGATGGATCGATGGATGGGTAGATGGAAGGAAAGTGGATGGGTGTACGAACGGCCGAATAAATAGAGCGATCAGCAGATATATATATA